TTAATGATTGCTATCGGGATGTGAAGAGACTTTCAACCAGCATAACAAAAAATGTTTCTGAAGACAATCACCTATTGCACCTTTAAGGGTGAATATGTAATATTTGCATTTATTACGAGCCTTACTTTTTTTTATCTTTCTAAGGCTTTTTTGTAATTTTTATTTTGTGTGTGGCGAATAAATGCTTAATAGATGATATACTGCCAGTAAAAAAAAAGTGCCTTGTTATTACATGTGATGTTTATGAATGAACTCAATTACTACTCTTCACTTTTGTACAGAGAAAAATGCATTTCTACCAAATATATTAACAAACAATGAGAGAAAAGCCTTTTCGTATGAGCCCACACAACAAATGAATAAATGCAATACTCAAAATTTGTTCTTTCATTGCTTTGTGATGTTATTTGAGTGCTTAACCGAGAGTTAACGTGTCAAATGTGATAATCTTCTGACTGATGTGTTCAGAATAATAATGTTGGTTGTTGGAGCCCAGGGCAACTCAGACAGCTGTCTCATCACACACCGAGTCTCTGGAGATCAGCTGATGATATTCCATCTGTATAACCTGCGCTTTCTTTTTGTGCTTCATCTACAGTATGTTTCTGTTGAATGAACCTAGACCATTGTACAGGTTTGTTCCTTACCTCTGAGCCTCACGTGTTCTTCACATGACCTGATAACCTGGAGCGGCTGGTCTGTTTTTAGACTGCCTAAGCAAGGAGACTGTGGTTCCACAGATGCGGTTTCCATGACAACTGTGGGAGTGCTCTGTTTTCTTGAGCATCCCTCCTCCACAGCACACTTCTATGCACAATGCTGATCACGTGTCAGTAATTACGTGGTGAGATCGTGGGTATAACTGCCGATAGACCCTCCAGCCTATGGCTGAGAAGATGCTTTAGATTTCACACTCCAAAAAACACAAAGTGAGAATATGTAGGCCATTTCACATCAGGTTGCAAACCATCAGTTTTCATCTTGGTTCATTTTGATTAAGATGAAAGAGTTTTGACTGTAATCTCTGATTTCATTCTGACGGCAATCGTTGGACGTTGTTTGTGAGAATGAAGCTCTCTCTCTTTGTGTGCTGCTTGATAGTAAGGATAAGCCTATTGATTTTTCCCCTCATTTGGCTGGGGCTGGAACACTTAACAGTGGCTGGGTGACAGAACAGCTGTCATTGTGAAATTACAAATTGCTGGAAAGGAGGGGCGACGGATCAATAACGATGGAGGTTGCTTGTCTTTAGCCTCCTCTGTGCTATGCCAAGGTCACCAAGGAGAAAATATTGACAATCAGCAAAAAAAAAAAAAAAAAAAAGGCCGCGATTGTCTCTGCTAAGCAAGGAGACTGTGGTTCCACAGATGCGGTTTCCATGACAACTGTGGGAGTGCTCTGTTTTCTTGAGCATCCCTCCTCCACAGCACACTTCTATGCACAATGCTGATCACGTGTCAGTAATTACGTGGTGAGATCGTGGGTATAACTGCCGATAGACCCTCCAGCCTATGGCTGAGAAGATGCTTTAGATTTCACACTCCAAAAAACACAAAGTGAGAATATGTAGGCCATTTCACATCAGGTTGCAAACCATCAGTTTTCATCTTGGTTCATTTTGATTAAGATGAAAGAGTTTTGACTGTAATCTCTGATTTCATTCTGACGGCAATCGTTGGACGTTGTTTGTGAGAATGAAGCTCTCTCTCTTTGTGTGCTGCTTGATAGTAAGGATAAGCCTATTGATTTTTCCCCTCATTTGGCTGGGGCTGGAACACTTAACAGTGGCTGGGTGACAGAACAGCTGTCATTGTGAAATTACAAATTGCTGGAAAGGAGGGCCGACGGATCAATAACGATGGAGGTTGCTTGTCTTTAGCCTCCTCTGTGCTATGCCAAGGTCACCAAGGAGAAAATATTGACAATCAGCAAAAAAAAAAAAAAAAAGGGCCGTCGATTGCATCTGCGTTATAGCTGCATTCCAATACATCGCTATTTCAAATCTGTTATCCTGTTCTAATTCTTTAAAGAATAATGGTAATGTGCAGATAATCAGTATCCCAAAACTATTCGGACACTTGAGTGCAAATGAAATATTTCACATTCAGTATTCAATATGACTACCACAAAAAATGTCTTTATAAACTTTATTTTCTTTAAAAAAAGAGCAAAAACCAAGGTTATAGTTAGACATGAATAATAGAAATAAATGGAGAGCAAAAATGCGGAGCTTAAAATGTAAAAATATACCTATTATTTATGTATTTATTTTGTATTTTTTGTTAAAATGTGTGTATTAGCTTAAGCTTTAAATCTATTTTATTCAAGCCAGAATTAAAATAATGAAAAGGTTGGTAAGTGATAGTGATTTTTATTTATTTATTTGACTAAAATCATGTTAAAATAACTGTAATGTTAACGGATTGGCCCCGTTTCTTATTGTTTTATTTATTTGTATTTTTTTGAAGAAGAAAATAATATGATATGGATGCCATTACATTTATAGAAAAGCAATATTAAACAGACAGACATTTATTTAGAAGCACAATATTTTAAGCAAATATTGTGTTTGGTTTAAATAAAGCTATAGATATAGCTACAGTTTAAAAAAAATTAATGACATTCATGGTTCATGAACTACACAAGTGGTTACGCAGCTAGAACAGTGAGAACATGGCTGTATTATTTTGCATCGTGTGAAATGCACTGAGCTTCCTTTATAGGGTACATTCATAGAGGCACTTGTGTGAGCATGGCTTTGTTGTTTTTATCTTTATGCTGTGACCACGCCCCTTCTGCTCGACACCACATAAAGCTCGCAGATGCCCCGCCCCTTGTCAGTCTAGCAGTGAAATGCGGAGCGCGATGGACTACTGCGTCTAATACCCAAAGATCCGAATGGACGTATTTCTCCCATCATTCACGCACAGATTTCTTCATTATTTCGCGCACTGCTAGCGTTCAAAATGCCTTTTCCACCGATAAACCTGCACTCACGGATATCATCGCCTAGAAAGGAGCTGTTCAGGAAAAAGAAGAGCAGGGACAATGTCGCGCCTCCTCAACCCACGTTCAGTCAAAGGACAGGAGACGACAAGGAATCGGAGAAAGATAAATTATCCACATCGTGGCCATCGGCCAATCTAAAGCAGCTGGGACGAAGCAAGCCGACCAGAGTCCCTCCAGATCCCGAGACGGACAGCAAACATTCGTGGTTGAGCGTCCCCAAACCCTTGGCTACCTCATGCGAAAGCGTCCCGCGGTCCAGTTCTGGAGAGTCCAGCCATAAATACGCCTCCAGGAACTCTCTAGCAAAAGAAGGCGGCGAGCAAGAGATCCACTTCTCCCTCAGCCTGACCCCCGAAGCCATCCTGGTCATCCAAAAGCGCAATCTGGAAAAGCAGTTGATGGCCAAGCAACAGAAGTGCTGCCCTTCCGCGGACTTGCGACACCGGCGGGTTTTCCCATCCAAGAGAGCTCAGGGCAGCTCCAGTAATAAGAGCTCCGGACCTGTTGCCAAACTAGACGGTTCCAATGACATTAGCACCATTGTGAAGATCTCCCTCCTCAACGACCAGTACAAATATGATGATGTGGAGTACGAGGAGGAGGATGGAGACGTGGACGAGACCGTCATGCGGAAATGTAAAGAGTGGCTCAAAGGTGTGGAAAGTGCTGCTGCTTTTGGGAAAGAGGATAAACTGTCAGCTCTGCCTCATCTTAAAAGCTGATAACCTGAACTAGGCCTACTTCATTCCACAACGAAAGGTCCACTGTGAAGACTTCAGTTCATGAGTTATGTGTCAAACACAAAAGTCACCTAATTTGCTTTTAGAAATGATGTTGTTTAAAGGGTCGTTCACACAGAACGCGTTCTTGCGTTGGACGGAGCGCAATGTAATATAGAATATTGAGACGCCTTTGTAAAAGTTGAACTATTTTCACCTGGACAAGTGCGCTTGGTGCATGTGTAGATAGAGCAACAATTAGGTAAAAACAGCGCAAACGTCAAGAAAGAACGCGTCCTGTATGCATATGTGGCTCTGGCACACAGGACGCGTTCTTGTGTTCGCAGACACCTGAAAAGCGCAACAGCGGACTGTTTTTAACTTGACTGTGCGACTTAAACTCTTGATACAAGACGCTGAAAAAAAACTCAATTGCGTCGCAATGTTTACATTGACCAACAGTTGGAACATTGTAAGTTCTGTACATTGGAACAGAACGCAGAGGTGTTCTAAAAAACTGATTGTTTTCACCTTGAGGCGCCATTTAAACCTGATGGCGCAATTCGCGATGCACTGGCCAAAAACGTCCATATGACGCAGCGCACATAAAGCAACAATTAATAAACATGTCGGGCTGAACGCAAGAACGCGTCCTTTGCGTACACACACACAGCTGTCTTAATGGACTGACTGGAATGTTTTTTCTGCATTGAGAGGTATTGCTGATCACTCAGAATGTTTGCAGGTTACCTTTACGCATTGACTGAGAAGCAGTAGTGGTTTTGCACATTGCTATTGTTTTCACTTTGCTGGGCTGAATGACAGATGTTTGTTTCAATCTGTGGAAGTAATACGGAGAATTAACGGAGACGAGGATGCGAATGTCGACCGGTGAAAGGCATCCAGAGGCCATGATCCTTCCTTTGTGCCAGAAAACAATAGCCATCAAGGGGACACTGTCTGAAAGCCTTAGAATAGACACTTAATATCTGAGACTTGTTAAAAGTTTGTGTGTAATATGGACTCGGTGACTGTTTGATCGACGAACCAGCCATGTACAGTATTTATTCTGCAATGTGGAGGTGTGTTTATATGCTGTGTGTTGTTCCAAGTCATTTTTAAGGGTTCTGATAATAAAATCGAAAAGACATGTTTTTATTATTATTATTATTATTATTGAAAGATCATCTGTGAACAACCAGTAGCTTTAAAATGGCTATATAGCCTAGGCCAGGGGTGTCCAAACTCGGTCCTGGAGGGCCACTGTCCTGCAGAGTTTAGCTCCAGCCCCAATTAAACACACCTGCACCAGCTAATCAAGGTCTTAGGCATGCTAGAAACTGGCAGCCAGGTGTGTTGAGGCAAGTTGGAGCTAAACTCTGTAGGACAGTGGCCCTCCAGGACCGAGTTTGGACACCCCTGCCTTATATTCTTCTCTAGGCCCAAGTGTTACATTGATTTTTATTAACGTTCCAATTCTAGAAATTCTAACATTCTACAATTCTAGGTGTAAATTGTTTACATCTTCAAAACACATGATGAATATGAAAATAAAACGGAAACAGATAAAAAGCTAGCAAACATTTGATGTGAACGGCAGATCGCGCATCCTTCCTTTATCTGCCGCTAGTCTTTACACACCTTAAATGGGGAGATTTCTTACAAATATTAATGTAAGTAGGAAAAACTTGAGCACAACGCGCCTACAATGAACAAAGTGAAATGAATGGGCTATAAGCTATCAAAAGGACTGAGGGTGTGAAGCTCGCGCCATGGCAACGACCCCTTAAACACAGATCAGGCCTGAAACTCATCACACTTCGCTTTGAGCTCTTTCTGTGGAGTAGCTGTAACTGTGGAGATGAGTTTAACAACGACAAAAATACTTAAAGTCTTTCAGAAAATTGCTAATTCATCGGTCTTAACAAATGCACATAGCCTACAGCAATGAACACACTACTGTGTGTAGTTAGCTGTTAGAAAAGCTGTTTGCTTGTGGGGTGCTTCTTCTAATTCAAAGACGCTTAGACGTCACTAAACACTGGTTTAGTACCTAATATCGAAAGCTTCAATAACTGGTAAGTCTATTTTTTACTGGATTTATTATTTGATTTGTGTATGGGAATAAGTGTATTTCCATGTGTAATAACAAAAGACCTTCAAAATGATGAAATTAGGTTGTTGGCTCTATCCAAAATTACTTTGTTTTTTATCCTACCATATTTAAGTCGACTGCAAAAAGGTGATTATGGTGAAAACTTAATCAAAGCTAAAACAAATCAAATATGTATTTCTTTGAGAGATCTATATGTTTGTTTTTGTTTTTTCAACTCAAATGTCAGACAAACAAGCAAAAAGTTCATTTCCGTGTAGTTTGTCAACTACCTTTTTTACATCTTCATAGCTTCACTGGCCTGATTATGACAATGAAAACTGATGATATTTATCATGTCAGTTCACTGCCACCTATCCTGGACTCTCCAGAAAAGGTATGTGTGACTAACGCAATGAGCATGCATTATAATTAACAGAATAAAACACTTCTAAGGCGAAGTTTCACAAATTAACGGAAAGGAAAATAATTTTCTTCCTTTTCCATATACAATAAGACTATTATTTTGTCATCAGTGTGTGTCATCTAGACACCAACAGTTATAACACTTAATAAAATACTAAAATACTTAATAGCATATATGGACATTTCTTTTTAAGATACTCTACAAGTTAGGTAAGTTCTTGGAATGCTACCAATGTCCATAACAAAAAGCAATTAATTAAGGCAGCTTTCTTTACATTTTGTTTTGTGTGACATACATTAAAAAATGAAAGTGTGTAGAGATTGAAAAAAACAAATCTGATGAAGAAATTGAATATATTGGGGAAAAACACTAAATCTTAAAAAAAAAAATGTTGCATAACTGTTGTGCACTTTGAGTTCATGTATTGTTCCTTAGACACACAATCAAGCCACACATTTCTGTATTTATGTCAGTTCCATCTATGGGGTATATTGCATGGCTTCAAAGTGACTGCAATCATCTTACAACATCTCTGAACCTTAAAAAATCCTATTCTTTTGTGTCCTCATCCTCATCCATTGGAAAATAGTAGAAAAGGCCAAGTACAAACGAAGAACTTTAGTATTGGTCACCCTGGTTACAACTAGTAACACAGTCCCCAGGTCGGCTTCACAAGTCCTTTTCATTACCACACTCTGGTACATACTTCAGAACTTTTTTCTATATTCTGTCCCAATTTACTTGCTCAGGGGGAGCTTACAAGTTGTTATTATGGGGAAAGGGGAAACTAGATAGAAGTGTAACTGGGCTCATGTTTGACCCTATCCATCGTATTTCTCAGTGTCTGACAGTGTGGCGGTTTTAATGGTACGAGAGTGTACTCAGGTACAAGCGGGGACTCCAAATGCAGACAAAACGTTGTAATAAAGATAAAGCAAAACAAGACACTGGAAATACAAGAAACACAGCAAACATACTAAACAAACAAGAACTGGAGCTGAGAACACCAACTAAATGCCAGGGAACACAACCAAGACCTAAAAAGTACAATGGGACTCACTATATATATATAACACCTGGAGACAATGAAAGAACTAATCCATAAATAATCTTCAAATTTGACCATGAAACTAAAACAGGAAACTAACAGACCAAAATGTCAATATAAAAGTAAAAAAAAAAAAAACAGACACAAACTATGACGTATATGAGTTGGTTCATAATGAGCCAAGAACATTCAGTGTGTACAGTTCCAGAAAGAAATATGAAAAGATGGATATCCAAAAATATCCATCCTTGTCTCCTTGAAAACAATTGTTTTAAAATAGCATTACAAAAGTTGTACATGAGACGTAATGATAAAGAATTATAAATTGGTCAGAATGCTATTTATTGCCAAATAAATCAAAGTGGTAAGTGCTTTAGAGATTGTTAAAATAAATATTGTTTTGTGAACCTACACGCTTAAAAATAAAGGTGCTTCAAAAGGTTCTTCAAGCGATGCCATAGAAGAACCATTTTTGGTTCCACAAAGAACCATTCAGTCAAAGGTTCTTTAAAGAACCATCTCTTTCTTACCTTTTTATAATCTGAAGAACCTTCTTTCGCCACAAAGAACCTTTTGTCAAACAGAAAGGTTCTTCAGATGTTAAAGGTTCTTTATGGAACCATTTAGACAAAAAGGTTCTTCTATGGCATCGTGAAGCACCTTTATTTTTAAGAGTGTAGTGAAATTTGATGCCATGCTCTTTTCGATTTGAGGTTGTGGCTTCAGCACCTTCCACTGCATATAGCAACCTGGTCTTCGAAAGCCATCTTGACAGCTCTAACATAGAAATAATTGCTTAAATGTGCGAGGCTTCCAGTGTCATCCGCTTCCAGTTATTTTAGCTCTACAAAACAGTCTGTTATGCTGCTTGATTGCAAAAATTGTTTTAAAGGGGTCATATGACGTTGCTAAAAATAACATTATGTTGTGTATTTGGTGTAATGCAATGTGTTTATGCGGTTTAAGGTTAAAAAAACACATTATTTTCCACATAATGTACATTATTGTTGCTCCTCTATGCCCCGCCTTTCTGAAATGCGTCGATTTTTACAAAGCTCATCGGTCTGAAAAGCGAGGTGTGCTCTGATTGGCCAGCTATCCAGTGCGTTGTGATTGGTTGAATGCCTCAAGCGTGTTACAGAAATGTTACGCCCCTTTCCATACTGTGATGCCCTGTGTCCCGGCGCGACAAGACAAAAACAATAAAACCCATTACAAACGAGGCATTTGTTGCATCCAGTGGGGACATAATTACTGATTATAATGACTTGTACTGTCTTTTTACGCGCTGCGTTGCGTATCGCGCCGCGTAAACATAAAACCATGTCTGGAGAACAAGCGCTACTCTACACTGCTCATAACTTGCATTTGACTCGTCAGTGGCAAATTCTTTAATGGGGTCATATGACGTTGCTAAAAATAACATTATATTGTGTATTTGGTGTAATGCAATGTGTTTATGCGGTTAAAGGTTCAAAAAACACATTATTTTCCATATAATGTACATTATTGTTTCTCCTCTATGCCCCGCCTTTCTGAAACGCGTCGATTTTTACAAAGCTCATCGTTCTGAAAAAGCGAGGTGTGCTCTGATTGGCCA